GCTTCAATGAAACTGGCAGCGATGATCAAGAAGATGTGTCCCAGCGAGGCCGAGCTGAGCATCCCCGCCAAGAACTGCTACCGCATGGTCATCCTGGGCTCCTCCAAGGTGGGCAAGACGGCCATCGTCTCGCGCTTCCTCACCGGCCGCTTCGAGGAGCAATACACGCCCACCATCGAGGACTTCCACCGCAAGTTCTACAGCATCCGTGGCGAGGTCTACCAGCTCGACATCCTGGACACATCGGGCAACCACCCCTTCCCAGCCATGCGCCGCCTCTCCATCCTCACAGGTACTTGGCTGGGGAGCACCAGGAGGAAGGGGGGGAGGTCCCCTTGCTGAATCTCAAGCTTTCTTGCCCAGTTTGGGGATGTTTCTCCAGTCCCGGGAGGAGGGAAGTGGGATTTTGTGTGTGCATGGGATGGGCAACTTCGCTCCCTGTACAGGGTGGATGGGAGGATGCAGGACTCAGGTGCTGCCCAGTCCTTCCCTCCCCAGGTCTCCCTGTGGCTTAGGCAGTGGGTCTGTGTGTGTCCCCGTCCCTGCAGCCATCTCACGTTCCCTCTTTGTCTGCAGGAGACGTGTTTATCCTCGTGTTCAGCCTGGACAACCGAGACTCCTTTGAAGAGGTGCAGCGCCTGAAGCAGCAAATCCTGGAGACCAAGTCGTGCCTGAAGAACAAAACCAAGGAGAACATAGAGGTGCCCTTGGTCATCTGCGGCAACAAGGGCGACCGGGACTTTTACCGAGAGGTGCAACCCCGGGAGATCGAGCAGCTGGTGGGAGGGGACCCCAAAAAATGCGCCTACTTTGAGATCTCGGCCAAGAAGAACAGCAGCCTGGACCAGATGTTCCAAGCGCTCTTCGCCATGGCCAAGCTGCCCAGCGAGATGAGCCCCGACCTGCACCGCAAAGTCTCGGTCCAGTACTGCGACATCCTGCATAAGAAGGCGCTGAAAGGCAAAAAGCTGCTGAAAGAGGGGGGCCGGGGCAGCACGGAGGAGGCGTACGGCATCGTGGCCCCCTTTGCCCGGCGACCCAGCGTCCACAGCGACCTCATGTACATCCGGGAGAAAGCCATCGGTGGTGGGCACAGCAAGGAGAAGGACCGCTGTGTGATCAGCTAGGAGCTCCCGCTCGCCCCACAACGGGAAGGAAGGAAGGAAGGGAAGGAAGGAAGGAATGGAAGGGGGAAAGATGCTCATTTCCAAATTGACTTTGGGAGGCAGGAGGGTGGGCAGGCCCCCACCCGAGCAGAGACAGGGAGGGTCGCCTCTTCCCCAGCCTCCCTCGTCCCCAGGGATCGCTTTCATCAGCTCCCTCCCCTGGGGGTGCATTTTGGGAGCGAGGGATGCAAAGGGGGAGGCTCTGGGGGGCAGGAGGGGGGGTGCCGCTGGGACCAGCCTCCTCCAGGCAGAGAGACGGGGAAAGGGTGAGCTGCTGGACAGCCAGGTGGGAGGATGAGTGTGGAGGGCACAGACCTTGGCGTTTCTTTTCCTCCCAAACCACCTAGCCTCAGGCTCTGCCTTCAAGAGAGAGGGTAGAGGCCTGCCAGCGCCTGCTTGGGGCTTTGGGGTTGTTTTTTGTTGTTGGTTTGTGTTTTTTTTTTTTTTTTTAACTTGAGAAGCTGTGCACGGACTCTGGCTGTGTGTCGTGTGTTTGTCTATGTCTGCAAAACACATGCAGAAGACATTCCGAAGCTGTTGCAAAGACATTGCAGAGTTACAGCCCCGATGGACCAAAAAACTGACTCGTTTACATTTGTCTTGTCTGATTTGCAAGATTTGGGAAGGGCAGGGGGAGTGGGAGGGGTTTTTTAAATAAGAAAATAATAGGCACTTTATGTAGGTATTGTTTGTCATCGACATGAACAAAAAAGTGTTTCTACCATGGGTGAAACTTGATGTTTTATTTTTTCTACAAATTAATAAAATCTTTTTAAAACGGTACCTGTGGGTTTGCCTTTGCTTCCTCACCCTGCCCCGTAGCAAAACCAAATCCTGATAAACCAAGACCCGAGCCCAGCTCCGAGGTGCTAAAAACGGCCGCTCGGCTCAATCCCTTTATTACCCCATTTTCTCCGACTCCCAGTGCAAAGGTTTCCGTCTCTCCAAGCAGCCGATTTCTTGCCACACGGCGCAGCGAGGGGCCACGCTTACAGTTAGTTGCTCAAACGGGTCACCGAGCCAAGACTCTTTCCTCACTTCACTAACGCCGAGTGACGATCCTGCCAGCCCCATGACACACCGGGCACTGGCATGTCATTCACTGCAGAAACCCAGCAAACTGACATCACTGCATTACAAAGAGCTGATTGTGTTTCATGCTTTTTCCCGATTAACTAAGCACACTTTAATGATGTCAACAGAGAGTGATTCATTTGCGCCCCGTCCAGGATATTGTTTTTATTTTGCAATATGAGTAAAGGAAGTACTTTGCTCGAAAGGTCACCTTTGCATCTGATGGTTTTTCATCTACACAAGTAGCAGTAACCTATGCTAGAAGGGAAAGGGGAAAGCTCTTCAAAGAACAGCTCTCCCTGGCTCCAGCTTCTGTTTCAGTTCATTTTCAGCCCATTTCCCCCCCCAAGCAGAACAAATCTACATCTAACACATATTAATGGCAAAAAAAACTCCCATCAAAGCCATAAAACTAAGGTGGGTGAGTGAGACTGCAAACCAAACCGCTTCAGTTTCGTTTGAAACTTGGCTTCAAGTTGACAGAGCTAACTTGTTCCTGTGCTAAGCGCCAAACATTTCTTTGGAAACACGTTGTTTCTTCCAGCTCCGCATATGCCCTGATTTCACAGGAACGGCAACTGGCAAAAAAAGGGAAACCAGCGTCCAGGCATGAGACACAAGAATTTATTGAGCTGGGGCAGGCAATGGCTGGCAGAAAGGTAATTTCAGTAATAAAAAGAGTGTACATTGTGCTTTGTTTATCTTGGTGTTCTGCTTTACTCAGAGTTTGCACGCTGGCACCTTCCCAAAGAAAGTACTGGTAAAGTATTCCAGCGGGGGCAGAGTAATCTCTAGGCTACAGGTGAGTCGCAACCACCCCAGCTCCCAACATAAAGAATTTCCTGCCTTTTGGTTTCGGAAAGGAGAACCCTACCCGAACAGACCTCGCTTCTCTTCTGTGGAAGGCATGAGTGCTACCTGCCCTCAGATGCTGGTTCTCAACAGATACTGTACTTCACTAGCTGGTTTTTCACCTCTTCCACTACTGACCTGCACCAGAGAACCGTGAGATTCCAGATCCCGTCACCGACTCTGTTAGTTGGCGAGGTGCAGTGCTGCTTACCAGGCTGTCGTCTGCCACCGTAACTGCCAACAGCAGGAGGACAGAGGGCAGGGAGCCCCGAGATCCACCTGAATGCGGTACAACACTCAAGAGCTTTCCATCAGCCGCTGGCAAACGTTCAAGCTGCTCAAACGGTTGTGTTTGTGGGAAGCCCCTGGAGCGCTTCGGATGTGGAACTGACCCGTCCTGTTGAGCCTGACTTCTGTCACATACGGAATAACTAAAAGCTCTTGTTGTTTATGCCCTTTGTTTTGATTCTGCTTTCCCTTCGTCTGTTTTAAGAGCAAGATGTCCAACGTACTGCCTACGAGCTGCACTTGCCCAAGCAGATTTACGCACCCAAAGCCAACCGAAACCCACTCCCCTGGCAGTTCCTGCTTTGCTCTCCCAAGTCACCCTGCTTCCAAAAAAGCGATATAAACACACAGGAGCTGGGCCCAGGCTACGCACATCCTCTGTGCTGCCAAAGTCCTGCCCCTGCTCAGCCCACATCCACTCAGTGAATACACGAGGGGCAGTTCGCAATTTCTAAATCTTTTACTTGACTCATGTCAGACACAACCATCACTTGTTTAAAAAGAGAGAGAAATACAAAAGCAAATGAAAGCAATCATCCCTCTTTCAACACACACAGACTGGAAAGTGCCCCAGAGACCCTTTCCAGCAGCAGGGCCAAACAGCTCACACTTCCCTCTTATGCTCCCTTTTGATGTTTGGCCACTTTTAAGTGGAAAAAAATGGCAGAAAATGCCCCCTTTTTCTTGTTGAAGTTAACCAGCAGGTACTTTGACCCTTAGCAAGGAGTAAAGATAATGTCTCCTGCTTGCCTGAACATAAAAAAAAACCCCACCACCTGACCTCATCCCAAAAGAAACGAGGAAAAGAGCAGAGATGCATGTATAAATACACAGTCGTACAGCAGATCACAGCGACTGTACCACTGTAATCATCACATGTGAAGCACACAGTGTTCTGGTTCAGTGTCACACGCCTGTGATCCACACAGGCACAACTTCAGAGCAACGCCACCAAAAAAGCATAAAAGAAAGAAAAGTAAACTTCCGCCACCTTCTTCTCTCCTGTTCAACCAGGGGAGGAGGTATCTCAGACCTGGAGAGCAGAGCAGAGCCCTTCCTACTCCTTGGGGATTTCAAACATGCAAAGGCTCTTGTACTTCTGCAGCAGTTCGTTTTTGGTCCGGACCTGCTCCCGCAGGTTGTGCAGCTGCTGCTGCTGCTGCTCTGGGCTCACAGCGATGCCGGGCATGGAGCTGATCAGCTTCCTCATCTCCTGGAACTTGTTCTTGAGCTCATTCAGCACCTGGTGAACATCCTGGCTGTCCTTGTCCATGCTGCAGAGGAGAGAAAATCGAGACATTGTTGAATTCTCCTATTGGAAATGCCTCTTCAGCCTGCGGCGATGACTGCCATTTCCCAGTACAATGAGGGCTTAAACTGGAATTCTCTAGGAAACTTTTGCTCTTGGTATCTAGCTACACACACCTAACTCACCTATCCCAATGAAAAGGACACGGATAGATAAACAGCCTGGGTAGCCACTGGGGCAAAAGGGTTTCCTGCTAATTTCCAGTACTCAACCCAGTTACCTCAGTGCCCGTGGAATCGGTTAGGAGCTGGTCTGCAGCTTTACAACGTTACCATGGAGCAGGCTAAATTCTCCCTCTGTTTGACCTCCTGTATCTCTCTTTGGGGAAGGTAAGATTACATGTGTTGTGTGTGGGCACCTGGAAAAAAGCTCTCAGTCTCACTCGTGACCTGTTGCTGCTGTAATACAAAAAAATCAATGCAGCCAAACAGCTTGACGGCGGAAAATAGAAACTGGTCCCCAAAGTATCAGAGAGTATCCAGTGGCAGAGAAAACGGTACTTTGGAGCTTCAAAACGACTCTCTGGGGATGTATACCTAATAAAAGAGAAGCGACAGCTTTTTTTTCTTTTTTTTTTTTTTTAGAGCAGCACAATTGGTTCTGCAGCCAGCTCTGTGCTTTTCAAGGATCAGTGTTGTCTGAGGTAGCGTCTGCCCTCAAACCCTCATTAGTATCTGCCTCAGCTTTGTTAGCACCGGCGAGAAGTTTTACCAATTCCAGGCAAAAGCAAGTCCCTGCTTCCAGAGCGCCTGTTAATAACAAGAGCGGGATTCTAATGGTCTTTGAAAACTGGGAGCCTGTTCAATAGCCAGACCTAAAAATAAACCTGCTTGGCATGATCAGGGCAGTGAGATGCTCGATTAGAACTTTGGGGAATCGTGACACGGCTGAGAGCAAAACTTTTAACCAGATGGTTGCCGTTCGTTTCGAAAGCCTGTTGGAACACAATATTCATTACTCCTTTCTAAATAAAACTGCAGCTGGTACTATAATGTGTCCCCATTATGCAGCCATTCACGGTCAGGTCAGTACTGGAAAAATACAGGCACAGGCACAACCCCACGGCACGTCTGGGGAAGGATGGGTTGACACTGACTTTAATCTATGACAGCTGCAGGCTGGCTTGGAGGGGGACGTCCTCCCCGCTCCAGGTATCCCCAAGTCTTGCGCCTTTCCCCACACATACAGAATTGACGGCTGCCAGGCCGGTTCATTGATCCAAAAGGATAATTATTTCAGGTTTGGGTTTGTTTTACTGATGGGTGGTTTTCCTGCTGGATCAAACCACTGAAGTGACTCTGTCTTTGAGGGCATGGACAGGCAGGGGTGAGGAGGTGTGGGAAGAGACTGCAGCTGCCTGCAGTAACACAGGATTCAACGCAATATCCAACCACAGCCTGTGCGGACAGAGCACACAGAAGACCTCCCTTAAGGCACTGGACCAGGTTGCCCAAAGCAGCTGTAGATGCCCCATCCCTGGAAGTGTTCAAGGCCAGGTTGGATGAGGCTTTGAGCAACCTGGTGTAGTGGAGGGTGTCCCTGCCCATGGCAGGAGGGTTGGAACTAGATGATCTTTGAGGTCCCTTCCAACCCAAACCAGTCTGTGATTCTATAAGGCACCATGTTCTTTGTTGCACCAGCACAACCCACCGTTGGTGGAGCCATGTGCTGGGACCTCAATGGTGATGCCACCTGACTGTACAAAGGTGAAAATATCAGCAAGCCCTGTCTGGGAAAACTTTCTCGGGACCCAAACAACAGGAAAGAGCACATGTCCTTGAATGTACGGAAATTTAAACATGATATATCCTCGCTCCCAAGCACAGTCACCTCGGAGGTGTGTCTTCATGGCTGAGTCAGTGTCAAAACAGCAGGGTTGAGCTCTGCGACTAGCGGCACTGTTAAAGGATAATATGTTTGCCATCCATCAGGGCCACGAGGCAACACATCCCACCACTTGTCTCTGTGGTCCTACCCATCTGCAGCACTGCTCAGTGTACCTACGTCTGCTCAAGCCACCCAGAAAACACCGTGTGTAGGTCGCTGGGTAGCAGGAGTGGGTGGCTCAGTGGGACCGGGCACAAGATATCCTAGGGACTGTCACCTGCTCAGTGACACAGGAATCCAGGAGGTCTCGGCCCATGGCTACTGCCAACTTTGCTTATGTACATGCATGCATCTGGCTATGGGCTTAGCCTCACTTCTGTAGTCTGGACAAAGCAGGCAGAATCGAGGCTGTGGGCAACTGTCCACCTCCACCACAACAGGGAGATGGAGGGAAATCCAAGGGTTTGCGTTCTCATTCCCGTTCTGTATCCAGACCAGTGTGCCAGGAGGTATTCAGTCTTTCCTTGCCACGGTGTTCTGGCTGCAGAGTCATTAAGGGGGAACCTCTCTCACTCTTCAGACGTGCTTGATACCAGCAAAACATCAGCAGGACAGAAACCGGCCTCAGCTCCTACGTGAACGCACAGGGGAAGGGCAGCCAGGCCTACAACCAGTAACAGGGGAAGTCAGGCTTCCCACACCAGCTGCCTTGCCCCGCAGTGGGCCCGGGCGAGAGCACAGAGCTGGCCTGGATGGATGTTCATGGCTGAGCCACGCTGCTACTGGGACCTCAGACAAGAGGTTATCCTGTGCCAAAAACACCCCAGTTCTCAAGACCTTTGTACAAGTACCTTTCAACCCCAGGGTACTGATCCTGAACTGGGAAGTGAACCATTTAACCCATATTTAGAACTCCCCAGCAATGGGCTGCATCCTGCCCCAGAACTGCCTGTACTTTCTGAGGCTGTTATCAGCCAAACAGTTACCCAGAGCAATAACCCAGCGCGGTACGACGCTCCTGCTCCTGGGTGTTAGTGGTGGGGCAGTGTACCTGGGCCACCAGAGCTCCTGCACCGCCCGGGTGACCCCAATATCAGCCAGGTACTGGCGTGACTCAGAGCCGAGATGCACTTAGGAATGTGCCAGCTCCCTT